GTGCATTTTCGTCACACTTTGCTGTATTACTTCCGCAAAGGCAAGAACGCAAGACAAGCGTGTGAAAAGTTGAGAAAGGTTTATGGAGAACATGCACTACAAGAACGGCAATGCCAGAGATGGTTTAAAAAATTTCGAGATGGGGATTTTGATATCCATGACGCACCTCGATCAGGGCGGCCTACTGAGTTGGATAGTGACGAATTAAAGGCATTGGTAGGAGCAAACCCACATTACACCACACGGAAAATTGCAGAAACCTTAAAAATCCATCATTCAACCGTTCACGACCATTTGAAGAAACTGGGATACGTAAGCAAACTCGATCGTTGGGTACCACACGAACTGAGAGAGGTTCATTTGACGGCGCGTGTAGACGTCTGCGATATGCTCCTTAAACGTGAGGAAAACGATCCTTTCTTAAAGCGCTTGATAACGGGAGATGAAAAGTGGATTGTTTACAACAATGTGGTTCGCAAACGGTCTTGGTCCCGAAGTGTAGATACGCGTAACACGATCGCGAAAGCAGAGAGTCATCAGGAAAAGGTGATGCTCTCTGTTTGGTGGGATTTTAAAGGGATCGTGTTTTTCGAACTCCTGCCAAAGAACCAAACCATCGATACAACTGTGTATTGTCGGCAATTGGACAGTTTGCAACAATCCATCATGCAAAAACGTCCGGAGCTCATTAATCGCAAAGGAGTTGTGTTCCACCATGACAACGCGAGACCGCACACAAGTTTGCTCACTCGTCAAAAGTTATTGGAGTTAGGATGGGATGTGTTACCACATCCAGCATACTCGCCTGATCTTGCCCCATCTGATTTTCATTTGTTTCGGTCGCTTCAAAATTCCTTGAGAGAAATACGCTTTACTTCAGATGAAGCTGTACATCAGCACCTTGTTCAATTTTTTGCCGGTAAAGACAAATCCTTCTACGAGCGAGGAATTATGAAGCTGCCTGAAAGATGGCGAAAGGTCATCGATCAAAATGGGCAATACATTATTGATTGAGGTTTGTGCTGTATATGAATAAAATGGCCTTAAAATAAACAAAAAAAAGCGTCATGACTTTTCCGACAACCCATATATATACCCTTATAACTTAAACTCTCTAGCTTTCATCGACTATGTGTTCTCTTCGCTGTTGTTTAAAAACAATTTCAACAACAATCTCGCCGACTTAGTAAATATTTTTTTCCTAATTGTTACTTGTTACCAGGCAGCAGCGGTGGCCGCAGTAGCAGTCTGTTCGGTCTCCTGATCAGTCACCGTGCGCTGTGCGGGTTCGAGTCCCATCCCAGGAGAAATTTTTTTCTTGGCTATGGATGTTGTGATTGTCCGTAGATGGTAGATGGTCTCTGACTGTCTAACGCCGAGGTACCACCCGGCGGTTCTCGAAGGCGGAGCCATAATGTGTGCATGTTGCATGCACACGTGTTCCCTCGCCAGAGTCCGTATGGCGTCCCTTGTTTCCCATGTATCCCCCATAGCCCCACGGTACCCAATGGGTGCTTAGGCCTTAGGCCTTCGTGGTAGTTGGAATATAAAAAAAAATTGTTGCTATTGTCAATAATTGTTTCCAGCTCCAGATGATGAAGACATAGATCTCCGAAAGCTTGAGAGTTTAAGTTATAAGAGTGTATTCTTGCAATACTTTGCCTTCTACCCAAAGAAATTAAAGGATATATATGCTTCTTTTTTCAATCATTGTTATCAAATCTGTGATTTTTTTTATATTTGGTATATGTCGAATGGATAATAAAATAAATGACATGAATTGGAATGAAATTGTGTCCCAGCTGACAATGCGAACTGGGATGCAGTTCCAATAGACTTCCTGCTGTGTTCTCGCAAAGGCTGATTCTGGTAATAGATGGCACCTATTTGATCATATTTCAGACAGAATCAAAGGTACTTACTGCTTTTGATATATTTGTTATTCGTTTAAATAAATATGATCATATTCCAATTTATTTTAGTGAGTGAGTGTTGGTTATGTATGGACGATGCTTACAAATATAAAATGCTCACTCTTACTCATAAAATATTAACTATGCAATCCCCTTCTTATCTCTATAAAAGTTTGTAGCTCGACGTAGTAGGACGGATTTTATCTTCAGAGTCTAAAAATCCATCTCTTTCCGCTGGTCGTTTATTTACAACTCTATCAAAATATACAAAGATGCAAGTAAGCATTTGAAATCTCTGTCGGTGAATAGTGTGAAAAAACAAGCCAAACAGCTTCTTCTACATCGTTAGTGCAACTGAGGCCGATTGATTAGGTTCATTATTTCATCTCATTGTATTTTGCTTTTCATCCATTCATTGTGGTTTATCTTCATATCATCTTCCTTGTCTTTGATACATATTTATATAATTTTTGAATGTGTGTTCCTTTGTACGCTTTATAATGTTTGTATGTTGAAATATTCTATTTCCCTTAGTTACAGATTTTGTTATTGGGGTAGATTTATCTAGACTCCATCCATAAGGAAAAAGATGTGACGTATAAAGATATTTCATTATTGTTATTATTATTGTTATTCTATACTTCGTTACCGACTATGAATTCGCCTCAACGTTCACCAAAGTTTCTTGCTGATTCTTTTGAAGATAAAGCAAAATCTTTCAAAGAAAATCTCACTTAGAGACCAGTTATGTTATGAACAAAGCTTGGAGGTATGTACTTTTTGCTATCTTATTTAAGCGGAAGCAAGTAAGCCGGGTAACTTTCTTCCGACAAACCGTATAAGGACGAAACGAGCTTTATCTTTACGGTTCAACTGCTGTCGGCTAGCAAAACCGGCAAACAACAATGCGGCAGGCGCACCGACGAACTTTGAAAAATGCCTGTTAGCTGATGACAAGACCGTAACGTCGATTTAGTGCAGAGCTGCAAAAAAAGGCTTGGAAAGGAATGGAGAGAATAAAGAGTTGGAGCAACAATAATTTACATGCAATAAAGAAAAAATCGACACGTCTTATTTGTAGCTTGAGCGTAAACAGCTGCTCCGCTCTCGAATTATTTACTTTTTATTGTTTTTGAGGGTTTGTTTGTATCTTTATTAGAACATACTGGCAAGTAGATTTTGTTCGGTTTGGTGGAAAAAATTATGGATCAAGTCAGTCAAACCGGCCTTACTTATAAATAACACGCTGTGGATGTTTGTTAATTTGGTACAAATACTCTGGAGTAGCGCACAGGCTACCCTTTATTCCGGTAAATATTTTTTAAATACCTCTTTCAGGAGCTACAACCCAAATCTTGGAACTGAATTTTAAATACGTTAACCAACAGAGCTAAGATCTCGGACACGCGTTTGGTTTATGTGACAAAACAAATTGCATTGACTGCCGCCATTTTGGATCCAATATGGCGGATGGTACGAATCTGCGATTTATCATTTCCATGGTATGGGTATCAAGTGAAAGGTCTTGATGAGAGAAACAAAAATAAGCAATATGGCGTCATACTGAATCAAATATGGCGACCCTCGCAAAATGGCGATACACACTTTTCATAGTCACCCCTATGATATAGCTATCAAATGAAAGGACTCGATGAAAGAAACGCCATAAACAAAATCAATTCATTCTAGATCCAATATGGCGACCGCCAAAAAATGGCGATTTACACTTTCCACGGTCACCCATACGATATAGGTATTAAATACAAGGGTTCGATGAAAGAAACGCAATAAACAGAATGACTTCATTCTAAATCCAATATGGCCACCGGCGCAAAATGTCAGCTCACATATTGCACAGTCACCCAAACGACATGGAATCAAATGAAAGGGCTCGATAAGAGAAGCACAAATAGCATAGTGACTTTATTCAAAGTCCAATATGGCGGCTGTCGCAAAATGGCGATATACACTTTTCACAAACACCTGTAAGGTATAGCTATTCCAAATCCAATATGGCGACCGCCCCAAAATGGCAGTTCACATATTTCATAGTCACCCTAACGTCATAGACATCAAACGAAAGGGCTCCATAAGAGAAGCACAAATAGCATAGTGATTTTATTCAAAGTCCAATATGGCGGCAGTCGCAAAATGGCGATTTACACATTCCACTGTCACCCATACGATATAGGTACTGAATAAAAGGGTTCGATGGAAGAAACGCAATAAACAGAATGACTTCATTCTAAATCCAATATGGCCACCGCCGCAAAATGTCAGCTCACACATTTCACAGTCACCCCAACGACATGGATATCAAATGAAAGGGCTCGATAAGAGAAGCACAAATAGCATAGTGGCTTTATTCAAAGTCCAATATGGCGGCCGTCGCAAAATGGCGATATACACTTTTCACAATCATCCCTACGATATAGGTATTAAATACAAGGAATCGGTGAAAGAAACGTAATAAACAAAATGACTTCATTTTAAATCCAATATGGCGGCGCCGCAACATGGTTACTCACATTTTTTACCGTTACCCCTATCGTATGGGTATCAAATGGAAGGGATTAATGAGAGGAACACAATAACCATAGTGGCGTCATTCTAGATCAAATGCAGCGGACGCCGAAAATCGGTGACATATTTTTCACAGTTGCCCCTATGATATGAGTATCAAATAAAAGGGCTTGATGAGAGAAAACCAATGAGAATCGTGACGTCATCCCAAATCCAATAACCCGACCGCCCAAAGATGGCGTTTAAGGTTATCATAGTCACTCCTATACTATGTGCATCAAATGTAAGGATTTGATGAGGGAACATGGTAAGCAAAGTGACATGGCTCTTGGAATTTGCGGGTGTTTGACAGTTTTAAAAAGAAAATTATATACCAATGAGCGGGAAGTATTAAGCGGATCTATTACACTACGTTTCCTCTCAAGCAGCATATTCGGTACCATATTCCTGTACACCAAAAAATAAAATCATTTTCTAGATCAATAATTAGCGATGTACCCCCTCCTGGCAAAACCGCAAGATAATCTAGCAGGCCTAGTTAAACAAATAATATTGAGCAGATCCAGCAGCACCGCGGTACCACTTTCATTGTCGTCGAATCGTGCAATCACTCTCTCTTGTCGGTAGTACGGTACATAGTGCATAAGCAGTACCGCGACGTCGCCGGCGCGGCAACGGTCATGTGTAGTTCTCAGTGCTATGGGCAACGCTCCGCGGCAGAAATGGCAATGGGTACTACATCATCACCAAGTGATCATGGTACTACTGGTACTACTTGCGGGAGCAACGTCTCAAGGTAAAGTACCCGAAGTTAGAGAGTGATGGGTAATTCTTAGAATCGGACTTAAAGCTGCCTGTTATCACAACTTCCGGTACCATCTTAGACTGTACGTTGGCGCATTGGTCGATCTGCAATTTTCTGTTACCTGTAATTCTCAGTACTATGGTTTACTATGCGACAGAAGTCGCAATTGGTACTGAATCATCATCATCAATTTACCTTTCTCATGGTACTGGTACTACTGAATTATCAATGTGAAGTACTCAAACTTATAGCGGAATAAAGGAGTTCATTAGTCCTGGCAGACGGACTGAGTCGATTTTTGATTGTCATCACAATCTCCATTAGTAAAAACTTGAAGCTACCTGTGATCATAACATCCGGTACTACCTTAGACGGTGCATAGGTTGATCTGCAATTTTCTGTTATATGCAATTCTTAGTGCAATGGATACCGTTTTGCGAAAGAAAGAAGGCAATTGGTACCACTTCATCATCATCAACTTATCTTTCTCATGGTACTGGTACTCCTTGCGAATTATCAATGTGAAGTTCTCAAATTTAAAGCGAAACAAAGGAGTTGATTAGTCCTTAGAGACGGACTGTGTACAATTTTTGAATGCTATCACAATCTCCGTTAGTCCAACTCGTCTTCTTGATGGTACTGTTACTACTTATATTGGATCAATGTCTAAAAGTAGAGTACCGAAAATTTAGACTTGGACTCAAAACTGAAAGCTCCTAAAACACCCTTGCAGTATCATGTTTAGTGTACAGGCAGTACCGTGACATCGTCGGCGCGAAAATAGTACTTGCAGGGACAATGTCTCAAGGTAATGTACCCAAAGTTGGGAAGTAATGAAGGTACCTTAGTGATTCTTATAATCGTACCTACAGCTGTTGTCACCTCCGGTACTACCTTACATAGTGCAAAGACTGACCTGCGATTTTGCGTTATATGTGGTTTTCAGTACTATGGCCAGAGCTTTGCGGCAGAAATGGCAATGGGTACTATATCGTCACAAGTTATCTTGGTACTACTTCGCGCAGCAGCGTCTCAAGGTAAATTACCCACAGTTAGAGAGTGGTGGAGTGCCTGAGTAATTCTTATAATCGGACTTAAAGCTGCCTGTTATTAGAACCACCGGTACTACCTTAGGCGCATAGGTTCATCTGCAATTTTCTGTAATATATAGCGCCTTGCGACAGCAGTGGAATAGTATTCTGCATCATCCACCAACTTATACTTTCCATAGTACTGGTCCTACTTGCAAGGGCAATGTAAAATACTCAAGCGGAATAAAGGTGTTGAGTAGTTCTTGGAGACGGAATGTGTCAATTTTTGAGACTTCGGCGTCCCATCCTAACCGTGTCAAACTTCGTACATCTAGAACTGGCCGATACGGCTGCTCCTTTGTCCCTAGGTATCGAGATTGTGGGACAATCTACACATTGAGGCTTTCCCAGTTCTAACCTTAGGCAGCTCAAAGAAGCTTCTTTAAGTTCCTCTTAGAAGCCGAGGTGCCCTGGCATTTATGCTTCTGCCTGTGCGGCTGCTTCGGTGTACAAAAAAAAGTTTTCGAAACTTGCACAATTTTCGACATTTTTATTTTCAAGCTCTCCGATGTTTCCGAATTTTAAAAATTTCCAAATATTTCAGAAGTGTCAAGCTTTTGAAAATTTTTAAAATTTTGAATATTCTTAAAATATCTAAAATTTCGGAAACTTTGAAGTTTTCGAGAACTTTCTTAATTTTACAGCCTATTGTGAAATGCAAATATTATACTACCCTCTCTTGAACGTTTCTCAAGGAAGCGTTACTGTTTGCTTGAAATCCAAAGAGATCATTTCTCAAACGGCAGTGAAACCTCAAGAAACGTCTCTAAATGTGACCCGTACATAATTTTTGAAATTTCTTACCGCTTGAATTTGCCCAGAAAATACCTCGAGCTTAAAATACATAATTATGGAATCAGTACACAGAGCGCATTACAAGTCATGTGCGAAGAGTCAACGTGCCATTCTTAAGAGGAATCTCATTGTAAACTCTGTGTTCCTCTAATTAGTGAATTATACAGTCGAGTAACTTCTCAAGCACACAAGGCCGCGGCTCGCAAATTAATTCACCTTTTCAAAATAATAACTCATCTGACACGAATTAGAACGATGAAATATCAATTTTTCTCTGTCATTGATTTTTTATTCTTCCTTTAACTTTTTATATTTCTATCTTATCCTTATATTGAGAGTTGGGACCATCTTTTGTATTTAATCTTTCTTCTTTCTTCTTTCTTCTTTCTTCTTACTTCTTTCTTCTTTCTTCTTTCTTCTTTCTTCTTTCTTCTTTCTTCTTTCTTCTTTCTTCTTTCTTCTTTCTTCTTTCTTCTTTCTTCTATCTTCTTTCGTCTTTCATCTTTAATGTTTCATTTTTCATCTTTCGTCTTTGTTTCATATTTCATGTTTCGTGATTCACGTTTCTTCCATGTTTCATGTTTCTAGTTTCATGTGCCATGTTTCAAGTTTCATGTCTCATGTTTGTTTCATGTTTCAATGTTTCAATGTTTCAATGTTTCAATGTTTCAATGTTTCAATGTTTCAATGTTTCAATGTTTCAATGTTTCAATGTTTTAATGTTTCAATGTTTCAATGTTTCAATGTTTCAATGTTTCAGTGTTTCAGTGTTTCAATGTTTCAATGTTTCAATGTTTCAATGTTTCAATGTTTCAATGTTTCAATGTTTCAATGTTTCAATGTTTCAATGTTTCAATGTTTCAATGTTTCAATGTTTCAATGTTTCAATGTTTCATTGTTTCAATGTTTCAATGTTACAATGTTTCAACGTTTCAATGTTTCAGTGTTCATGTTTCATGTTTCATGTTTCATATTTCATAGTGCATCTTCCATCGTTCATCTTTTAAATGGTTATTTTGATCAATTATTGTGAAAATGATAGGTACCAACGAACAACATTAGTTTTGGCACACTCTGTAAAGTTTAAATGAAGTTCGTGCCAAAAACGTGATCCTTTATTATTTGACTCTAAACAATGACTACACAATTCTCTTGCAACTTAATCAACGCCTCAATACTGTTATGCGAGAAACAAATATGCAAGCGACTGTATCGAATATGGTGGTACCGAAAATATGAACCTTTATTCTCAACAGTACAGTAAGATAACGTGCCAGTACTGTTATGTGATGAGTAAATATAAAAGCGTTCGAAAATGCGTCTGTATCAAATACGGCACCACATTCATAGGCCGAGAAATAGGGATATTTTATATATGGAAATCCTATTATTTTGGCAACTTTAAATTTTTTTGCTGGTATCGTTAGATTATTTGTTTTGAATGATAAGATCAAGTTGGGGTCATGGTAGAGCTAGAGCATTAGCTGCGTTTTGTCAAAAATCTCAAGAACTATCGATTCTATGTAAAAGGTAATGAAGTTATTTTGTAGGGACTGACATTCTTCATGATTTTACTTGTATAAAAATTGTCGTATGGTCAACGAATTACGAGAAATTAAAGGATAAAGGTATATGTAATGATATTCCCGCTTATAATGGCTAAACTAAAAGGTCATTTAGATTGACTTTTCACTTCCCACGCCTTCATTTGAGGTTTCAAAGGAAATGTATTATTCAAGTCGTTTTAAAATCGAAATAGAATCGTGATTAAGTAGGTTCGCTTAGACTCTTCGACCTCCGCATAGATAAAGGAAATCTATCTTTTTTCTGTTTCAATGGCAGATGTAGGGAAAATATGTGTGACTTATTATGTCTACAATTTTCAATCCCCTCTGAACTATGTTCGAGCGATCCAATTTTCAAAATCTACGACTACCTAAAAGATCATCATTTACAAGAGCACAACAGAACGCCAAAGTGGTACGTTTTACGATGATATCCAAATATTACCAAAATATATAAATATTTCTTTTGTAGCGATGTGTCAGTGACGACACGCCCAACCGCTACAATTTTTTTTTCCTAAAATCATCACTAGCCTCTGAAACTGGACCGATTTACAAAAACGAACCAAAGCTTTTCCATCCTTGGTATGGAGCTAACCTTGCGTGAAAATTTTATCAAAATCCGAGTGGTATTCCTCGAGTTATAAGCGGCTATATAATTAGCGGACAAACTGACAGACAGACCGATGGAAATGAACGACATGGTGTTTCGTGATGTACATGTCATATAACATTTCAAATTACAATACTTCCCCGCCAGTTTTGTCGTAGTAAGTAAAATGATAGTAGTCTTTTCAGAGAAGCAAAATGACAATGAGCTTAATTGCTTAAATTGTTTTTATTACTTTTATACATAGGATCGCTGGTTTCCAAGATTTTCGATTAGGCGCGTTTCTCAAAATGGCGGCAACTACTCCAACCTTATCATGACTCCAATTTGAACGTATCACTAGGAATTAACAATATCTAATCATGCCACCAACAAATTCGCTGTTTCAAAAATTTTACGGAAAAATTATTTATTTCCTGGCCTATTATTTAACGGCGCTTTACCGCTCACTGGGTCGGTGCCTCAAGGCAAACGATCGTAACCCATCAACGAAAGCAAGAGTGATGTTCAAATCCGATGAAGGTATGTTACGCGTGAGTTACCACAGCGTTACGCTATGATCTTTCAGGTGTTTGGATCGCGATAGTACTTTCAAATGTTTTGTCTTACAATTCAATTGTTAACAAGGACGGAATCAAGATTGAGGTGTGATCGCAAGTGAGCTGATGATATACAAAATAACAGTGTGGTGTTTTTATAATGTGCATCACATGCAAAAACTGAATTGCAAGCTTTGCCGGAATAGTGTTGGAGACAACTTCTGATCAAAAACGTATTGTACCTAAAGATAGCCAACCTCGTACTATATTTCCGCGTATAAAAAATTATACTAGATGAAATGAGATACCGTATCGTCATCTATGAAAATTTGTTATAGCTATCTTTTTCCTCTCTGCATTAATTGCTTTGGAAAGGTTAGGCCCAATTTTACTAAGCAAAAAAGCGGGTTGGTCACAAATCTACTAATGAAAGGTCGTCCTTGAAATAATAGATCTAGCGATTGATGTCGATTTTTTGTAAAATGTCTCTCAAACTAGGAAAAATTATACGATTTGTGTGAGGTGGGCGCCTAATTCCCATGTTTAATGAAAAAATACGTCACTTGGTTTACCTACAAAAACTTATTTTTCATTTGTGTCCGGATACTAAATTAGCTGCCATTATCTTATAATGCACCAATCACAAAAAAGCGTATGCGTCATACTCGACTGAACACAAATCTGATTCAATAGCTAGATTGATATGACAGCAATATTTGATAAAAATAACAGGGTCTTACTATTGCAGAATGCTTATTCTTTGACAAACATCGAGTAAATGTTCAATTTACTTTATTACGCGCCCTCTGCTGGGCCGTAGGACAAATACGTCTAGTCACTAAACGTTCTAGCGTCCAGTGGTGTGCGACATCTCCATGTTTGGCGATTGTGCCATCTATGAAACATTAACCTTTTCAATTTTCGTATTACTTCCTACCAACATTATTTTCCCAAAACTTTATTGAAGTGAGGTATTCACAGTCATCGAATTATCACATCAAGCTTAATGTAATTTCAACAACTTTAGATGCAATATTGCATTAGAGTGCATCAAAACCGAGCTCATAACTTATACGGAACAAAGCCAAGGGCACAAACGTTCGCTGTTCTACCAATTTATTATTATAACGCTGCCCATATTTTTGATTGACACTTATATTCGTCATCGGTATGGAAAGCCCATCATCGCCTTTGGTCAAACAACCCTAGTGATCGTACTGCAAATTCTGGTCGTTTTACGCCTTTGATGTCATCGAAGCATCAATTACCTCCCTAATTAATACTTCCAGTCAACAAATAACAAGGTTACAGTGACAACAATCAGTAAGAAAGCTTCAGATGATGCTACGATATACAGGGTGGCGCATCGAAAACGAAACAGACGCATTTACTGGCAGCTCAGTTTTTTTTTTTGGAAAAGCGTTCAGACCCGTCAATTTTGTTTTCGAGGGGGACACAAGTTTGAAAAAAGTCACGTTAGCATCTGCAGCCCCCTAAGCGGGGTGACACCACCCCCAAAATCTTAAACGGAAAGGGGGGTCGAGTGATACCTTATTTTGAGGGTCTTTCAATTCCCTTTATAATGATATAAAACTAATGTACTTCAGTTCAGTAGTTTTGAAGATTTATTGATTTAAAGCTTAAATAAAACTAATACATCATCATTAGTGGAGATCAATACATTTGGCAGCAAAGTAATTTAAAAATAAAGAATGAACTGACCCGTTAGGCAAGTAAATGTTGAAAATGGCCACCATGACTCTCCATGCAATAATAAAGATTTTGCTCAAAACGTTGCCGCACATTTTGCAATATTTGAGGAGTAATTTGAAGGCACTCATTCACAATTCTTTGTCGCAGGTCTTCTAAAGATGTTAGCTGAGTAGAATAGATTTTGCTTTTTAAATGACCCCACATAAACAAATCCAAAGGTGATAAATCTGGCGATCTTGGGGCCATTCAATGGCACCTCTTCTACCAATCCATCGATCTGAAAACATCTGATCTAAATATTGTCGAATGCGTAATGTGGTGGCGCACCATCCTGTTGGAACATCAACCTATTCGCAATGTACCGCCGATCATTCTGATTTTCAATTATGGCTGTTAATGCAGGATCTATGGCGTCTTCCAGTAATTCCAAATACATTTTACCGGTCAAATTTCCAGGTAAGAAGAAAGGACCAACTAAATGATCGCCAAAAATACCAGCCGAAACATTTAATTTTTGTGGCTGCTGTGTATGAACCTCATGATAAATTCTGGGATTAGAATCGAACCAATATCGGCAGTTATGACGATTTACTACGCCATTTAAGAATAAGGAACATTCGTCGGAAAAGCAAGCATTGAATAGAAAATGTTCATCGTTTATAATTCGTTCACTCATATCTTCACAAAATTGTAATCGCCGATCAAAATCGTCTTCATTAAGTTCTTGTACCAGGTGAATTTTATACGGATGTAAACTATGGGCCGTTAGAATCCGTTGGACAGTACGTCGACTAACACCACACATAGTCTCCAATTTGCGGGTACTTAACGTAGGATCTACATAAACTTGCCCTAAAACCCCCACTTCTAAAGATTTTAGGGTTGGTGTCACCCCCGCCCAGGGGGCTGCACGTGTTAACGTGATTTTTTGCCAAACTTGTGTCCGCTCGAAAATAAAATCGACAGGTCTGAGCGTTTTTCCAAAAAAAAAAAAAACTGAGCTGCCAGGAAATGCGTCTGTTTCGTTTTCGATGCGTCACCCTGTGTATCCTTACGTACTTTGAAGAT